CCCGATTGACCTGGCCGGACCTAATACAACCTAAAGGCAATTGACCCTGAAATGACTTGACCCCATACCTTACCAGAACGACCTGATTGCTTGGTCTAGTAACCACCAAGTAAGAAACATGTTATGAATTGGCAAATATCTAGCTAGTTTGAATAAAATTTAAACCAAAAGGGACTTTTTAAGAAATGATCTTAAAGAGTTCCATACTACTTAAAATGAAACCTTTTTGTTGAAGCAAGTCTATCAACTTGATTAATCAGAAGTATATTGCTTCTATTTTCGACATGGGTACATGTCCAAGCATCCGACTTGGCTGTTTTTTTGGAAAAAAATCCTTGAACTAAAAGTGAAGTGTCTGAGCGTCATGGGTCCGACACGGGTACTTGAGGTGAAATGTAGAATCTGAGTAACATAGCCTTGCTATCTTATTTGTAGTTGATCAGGATTTCGATTATACTCATAGATTTCATAGAACATGTGAGCTTTGATGCCATTATGGCCAAATTTGTGAGTTAAAAATAGGACAGTGGCTCAACTTATGTTACCATTGTTATGTTTGTTCTACAACTTATTATCTATCTCCTTCACTGTTTAGCTTGCTATCTTTTATTTTTCAGTGGCTGTGATAATTCTTCCCTTTGCTAATGTTTAATGGATCTCTTTGGGCTAGTAACTGCGAGGATGCAATAAGCCGTTTCTTGTAGCGTCTGAACTGAATCCTGTTTTTCTTTTGTGTCTTTTTGCAGGAGCTTCTGCCGCCCAAGCTCCAAATGTGATTTATCCCAGTGAGATTGATGGAGTTCCAAGGATCTCTCTACCAGTCTTTGGACTTTCTTCTTACAAATTCAGAGGGCCCTTGTGGATCTCAAACAATGGGAGTGATCGTCAATTAGTGAACTCGCTCTCACAAGCAGCTGATAGTTGGTTGAGACAGCTTCAGGTCAATCACCCTGACTACCTGTTCTTCTGCCGTAGTAGATGATGTTGATAAGTAGACTGTTACTGTACAATGCCTACCATTTTGGAGGAATGTCCAACCGTGGGTCTTCTCTGAAGGACATTGCCATCTGATCAAGGTGTCAGGTGGCTGCTGAGTTTAGAGTCTTTCTCTGACTTGTTCTAGTCATCTGTATATCAGTGAGGTATAAAAAATCAAAAACTCAAAAAAAAAAAAAAAAAAAAAGGAGACGGAGGCTGTTTACTGCCAGTACAGATGAAAGGTTTAGGTCCGGCTGGATTGGGATAGAAACAGGATAGGTTTAGTTAAGCTAAAGCATGGCTGAGGCAGACAAGGGTTGCAATCAGGAGGAGCAGGCTTAGAGTTTAATTTCATTGTTAACTTTTTATTTTTTTTTTATTTTTAGATATCTGCATATGGGAAACAGGCTCTGGTTTTTACTATTTAAATCCCTTGCCCTAGTCAGTTACTTAAATTTAGCTGATCTAATGTTTAGTAGGGGATTTTGATATGTTGTAACAGGAGTATATGAGCTTTTGTGTGGACTTATTGTTGTCATATATATATATATAAAGAGTAGTTTTGGTGTAAAATAGATTGGAGTTATGTTTAGCGTCTCTGCTTCTGCTCTTCTAAGATATAATGATGCTAAACTGTTGGTTGTTTTTGGCGTCAGTTGCATATATATGAGCTGTCTGTTTATTTTTATCTTTTGCAAGGAGAAAGACCTTACTAGTTCTGTCATCACGGCTACACAACTCGCTGTTTGAGAGTTGAAGAGATGTCAATGGAATCCCCCGCTCCCAAGCACAATTATTTGTTACTGAACTTTGTGGCCTGGTGAGTTCCCCACTATCTTCCCAAGCTTGCTTGTTTGTATATAGGTGATTGGTATCGGTATAAAGTACTGCAAGTTATGCTCCTTATGTGTTGGGTTTGATCAAATATCGAGGGTTAAATAGGTGAGGCTTGCAATGTAGGTTTTTTTGTCAAAGAAAAGAACCTGCTGATGTGATATATGAAGACATTAACGACACAAAATACAGTGTTGTTGTCAGAACTGATAGTGATACTAAACAGATTGTTAACAATTCAGTAATCCTGAAAAGCTAATGATACAACTAGTCTTGTTGTCGAAACTGATAGTGATACTAAACAGACTGTTTACCAATCCAGTAAACCTGAAAAAACTAATGATACAATCAGCACCGACGAATCACCAGACGAGTTTGTAAAGCTGCAAAATGTCAAGCCCCACCCGATAAGTTGTAGGCTTATAAGTTATAACTTTGTTCATATGGTTCAATTGTCACATATATCACAAAACTTGAAGTTATAGACCGAAGCTCATTTAACATGAAATGTCAAGTTGTTAATATTATTCACTATACGACTTAAATAATATTTGATATAATTAAATCTACAACATTAGGCCGAAGAAGTGTAATACCATTTTATACTACATAAATTTTGATGAGGAAATAAAATTGAAATGGTGAGTTCTACAATTCAAGACAATCATCCTATATGTTTGTAATTGTATATCCATAGGAGTCGCACCTTTCATGTATTTTCCTCATTTTGTGAGAAGTAATTCATCATAAACCTCTTCAATACCTTCTTTATTCTTCTCAAAAATGTTGTAATTCTCCTATGTAATTTTATGTCTACAGGTGGCCGATTGTGCGGGCTGGGTATGTCAGGGTCGGGTTATGTGGGTTGTTGGTTGGGTTGGTTGTTTAGGCAGGTCGTGGGTTATGTTTGGGTAGGTTAGTGTGTGTTAGATGGGTATTGAGGCTATGTCAGGACGGGTTATGCTGAATTGCTGGCGGATCAAGTGTACCGCTGAATTTTTGCTTATCAAGTTATGATGAACATAATTAGACAAGCATGATATCCAATTTGATATTTTAATATAGTTTTAAATTTTTAATTAATCATTCTATGTTCAAATTCATTGAATCAATAGAGTGGGCCAAGGGGGTGGTCGAGATGGTTTAGTTGGGTTGTGTGTTGTTGGCTAGTCCACTTTAATGGGTCGTGTGTGTTGGGTTCATGTGTTGGATGTGCAGTGTCAGATTGGGTTGTGGCAGCTTATGATAGTTAGGTCGAATTTAGGCCAAACTTAGTGGATCCATCAGCTGTGTGGGTTAGGATATGCGTGATCAATCTGACGCACCGACGTCGTGATCAATCCGACGCACCGACCACCTCTATATGTCAACCAAATGATAAAAAAAAACATGTAAAAATTCATCAAAAAAGGTAAGTGACATTTTTTTCTTCATTTGACTTACCACACCCTCAAGCCCAATTTCATGGTCACCATTGGAGTAACCTCAAAGTGAATAAAAGGGCAATACATATGGCATGTGAAGAAGCCACGTAGCCTACATTCGTACTAATTGAAAGCTGTCACATAAACTAATAGTGGCTACAATTCTCACATGTTCGAAGTTGGATCCTATAATACACCCCATTTGCCATCTTTCATCTTTTTCTCGTGGGCCCGGATCACTCCCACTAGCCCATTTCCAAATCTGTCTAATCAAGATTTTTTTTCTTATTGTATTTTAACAATAATTTGAGTTACTTGTAAAATAAACAAAAGATAATGTCACCTTCTTGCATTATTATTCATTAACTTCCTCTTTTAGCTTCTTTAATTTAATACTCCGAAGCTGCCCTCATTACATCACTGTTACATTAAAAATTAACCAATTTGTACTTGATTAATGATTTACTAAATCCCAAATCATTTACTTTATTCGTTCCTTTTGAACTACAATATTTGAATTTTTACACTATTTATTATACACACTGTTTTTATCTTTCTTTTACAAATAACTTTATTTGTCTCAATATTTACTTTAAAATTATAATTTTAATAATTTATAGTAAATTACAGTACATTGATAAGCATGAAATTACAAGCGTTGCGATTAAAAAGAATGGTTGGAATATATATATAAAAATTCAACGGTCCAAGATATTGTGCTCATCCTGAACATCCCCATCTAGACAAATTCAACTACTACTTCACAATACAATGTTAATAACAATGGTGTCAAATACCCCTTTCAAGTCAAACTCAAAGAGCCTCCTTAAACTTTACATTTCTTGGTTCCTACTAAATAATACACACTTTCTCTTACCCCCTTTTCATCAATCTGCTTCTTCTTCTCCATCATATTATTAATGCTGCTGAATTCATAAACATCTATTTTATTAAAAAATATGAAGAAAAAAAGCTGCTGTTTCTGTAAGTCAAACTTATTCAATCTAACTTTGTTACTTCAGTTTCATCTTCTGCTCTCATTATCAGAAAATCATTATGGTGATTGTGAGCCCAGAAAATGTGGGAATCAAACCATAAAGTATCCTTTTCATATACAAAATGATCAGAAACCATATTGTGGGTATCCTGGTTTTGGGGTATCCTGCAATTTTGACAGTTTTCCTGTGTTTAATATATCAGGAGATGCTTATATTATTAAAAATATTTCGTATGAAACTCAGAAGTTTCAAGTCATAAACTCAGCTCTAGTTGAAGATGTTCCGAGTAGCCGGGGTTGTTTCCATTCGCTTCATAACCTGACTATGCCGCACGATTCGATCAACTTTTCAATGAATAATGATTATTTATACGTGTTTCCTGATTGTCCAGAGAAGGTTTTGAAAGAATACAGGGATAAGAGAGTGAACTGTGGGAGGTTGGCAGTGTATAAGAATGACTCAAACTTGCAGGATTTGGAGAAAAAGTGTAATGGAGTTGTTATTGAAGTGCCTTATTATGTCGAGGATCAGACTAAAGGCAAAGTTATGGATATGCTTGAAAGGGGAGTTTTGTTGAACTGGAAAGCTTATAATTGTACTGTCTGCTTAAAATCTGGAGGGCAGTGTGGGTTTGATGAGCCTAATAGTCAATTCAATTGTTTCTGTCCTGATAGAACTCATGCTCTTCAATGTAAGGAGCCTCCGGTTCACAGTAAGTCTCTCCATTTTTTTTCCCTCTTACTGTCCTCACCCTAGTGTGTCTGTGTGCGTGTGCGTGTGTATGTGTATGTGGTGGAAGTGCAATGTGCAATGTGCTATGAAGAGTTTGAGGCAATGAAGTTAGGATTTTGTTGCAAATTTGATTAGAAGGGAATCTAAGGGGGTAATGATGGTGAGGAATGATGTAGTCTGTCTTTGATTTAAGTTGTATGTATATATATGTGGTGGTTATGCTATTTTTGTCAATTTTTGATGTTTTGTTTGCGGTCTTTGTTATTGGAATTAATATTTCCTAGAAAGGCTACAGCTTATTTAAGAATACTTTGGACTTGTTTTGTTGCTTAGTTATCTCCGGATTTCTTGGACAACTCTGAGTTAATTGCTCATTAAATTCAGTTCAAAGGATTCCCGAATCATAAGGTATTATGTTTGGAGGATACTACTTTGTATGGTCAAGCTAATAGTCATCCTTAACATCTCAAAGGTCAGTAAAATGAAAGCATCATGAGCTGCTGCCTGACTTTTCTGAGCTCCTATGTTAGTCCTTGACTTCGACCTTTCAATTGGCATTATTCAAAAAGCCAGCATTTTATGCACTTTTTTGGCAGTCCCATTATAGTGCCCATTTTCGGCCTCCTCTCTGTCCTTTGCAATCTCACTCAAACCCATCTTTCACGTTTGTGTCTATCTGCAAAGGTTAGCCTAATATTCACCTTTAACTCTACTGTTATGAATTATGTATGCTAAGTAAATGCTGAGAAATGGCTACCCTGATTTATAATTCACTGAAGCAGAAATAATAACAAGACCTTTAGAGTAACTTGTGAATGGTGATGCTACATCATTACAGAAATTGTATGATGAGTGTAAGTCTTTAACTGATCTGCCTTCCTAAAACATGTTCCTTCAGTCCTCAACATTACTCTGACAGCAGGAGATATTATCACTTTGCTACGAAATTTTCACAAAATAAGTAACCACACGACTTCATAGAAAAAGTAAGGAGATTTCAATCATTTCTTGCTTCCATGAGCACCAATATAGGGTAAATTTTATTGCTTACGAGCAGTAAAATAGCGTCCAGAGTTGGGTAGTTGACTCTGTAGATCTGTCCTTATGCAACCGTATTCTTATCTGACTGACCAAAGAGGTAGTTCATCATGCAACATGCAAATCAGAATTTTGATAGGGACCAACTGTCTTATTTTATGCCTTATCTTTGTAATGAAAGGGTAAAAATTTCAGAGTTGCTGAAGTCATTTTGCATAAATAAATTTAAAGTCTTAATCAATCATAAATGATCTTAATTAGGACTTTTTAAAATTTCATAACCAGTTGTTGACCAGATTAATCTTATCATAGCTAATAGTCTCAGTCAGAAAAGTGCTTGTTTATAGAAATTTTCATCCCACATTCTCACTTGTTGTCTTAATAGAACTTGTCTAATCAACTATTAAAGGAGGCTCAATACTTAGCTACCCTGGTAAATTTCCCTAATCCACACACAACAACTTACTTGATGCATCGTTCCAATTTTAGACACGGTACCAGCTGTTTTTTTTTTTTCGCTGAAATGAAAAGAATCAGAGTAGTTATTACTAATAAATTAGCAAAATCAGATTAGTAAGTAGCAGGTTTTGAATGGTTATTAAAAGTCAAATTGAAAAAGAATACCAACTTTAAAGACTTGACTATAAACTCCCATATATTTTGAAGCTCATTCTCTCTTTTTACATTGCACCTTGTCCATTCCTTCTATCCAAGCAGCCCACTCGGATTTATTTCCAAAAATGAATCTATTCTACAAGCTGAGTAGCCTATTCATCTCAATCCTCTCCTTTCTAATGTATCGTTCTTTGGCTTTAGATCATTATTTTAAAGACTGTAAGCCTATAGTTTGTGGAAGCATTACCATCTCTTACCCTTTCTACATTTTAGGCCTACAGAAATCCTACTGTGGCCAACAGGGTTTCGAAGTCACTTGTAATAGCAAGAGTCATTTAATCATTAATCTCTCCAATGATACATATGCTATTCAAGAAATTTCTTATGAATATCAATCCATGAATATTCTAAACACTGCCTTTATTGATGCTTCTTTCAATTGCACTCTCGGTATTCATAGCTTCACCTTGGATGAGAATAGATTCAAGTTTGCTTGTATACATAGTGAGGTATTCTTGTTGCAAGATTGCAACAATAAAGTAAAAAGCAGCATAGGAGAATATAAAGAAGAGTCATGCATATCTAATAATAAAAGTAGTGGAAATCTTATTGGCATATATGCACAAGGTAGAAATTTGAGTCAATTTGCTGGCAAGTGCAAAAAAGTAGTGTCAGTGCCATATGAAGGACGGAATTTAACTGATATTGATGGTGCTATAAGAAACGGGGTTCAGCTGAAATGGAATGCTACTAGTTGTGTAGAGTGTGCTAAAAGCGGAGGTAGATGTGGATATCATTATGAAACTAGTTTACAAATGCAGTGTTTCTGTCCTCATGGTGTTTATCCTCATAAATGTCCGAGTAAGTTTCTATCTTAGTGTCTCTTACTATCTCCAAGTTTTTTCTAACAGAAATATATTACTATGGTCTATGGGTTGAATTTCAGCCTCGTAGCAGAAATTTTAAATTAAGGCAAACTTATGGCATTGGTTGTCCTTGCTCTTATAAATTCATTCCTTAAAATTATTTACAGTTCACTCAAGATCTTGGTCACCCATCATTTTAGATTCTTGATGCTTGATTTGTGTCTCCTGCCTAATTTTTATCACAATATATAGTATGACTATTCATTCTGAAATACATCGGCATTAGGATTAGATTGTATCATTTTCTACAACTTTATGGAAATTTCTTGATAAAGCAAAACTAACTATGCAAATTCCTTACATTATACTAACTCTTTGTCGTTACTCTACCTATGATCATTTAATTGTTATATACAACTCACCTAGATTAGTAGAAAAGTAGAACTTGTGAGATATGAAGGCTACCGACATCAATATAACATATCCCAGTACAAAAACAACGGATTTGTCTGAATCATCAGTTAAGGGAGTGCAGTACACTGTTATGCTAAATCTACATGTTTAACACAAAACAGTATAGAGATAGACACTGCAACTTTCGGAATCATCTACACAGTTAACTTCTCATGCTATGAATCAGGCTTTTTTTGGGTTAGCTTATTTTGTCTGGAAGTACTGTATCTGAAATTATAAATGGAAACTAATACTTAGGTTTGTGATTTTGTTTGAAATTTTTGTGTAAAATAAAAAAGTTACTCATTCTAAACTTATTTTGTCTGAACTTATCCGGATTTATTTTAACCTATATGGACTTATTTTGTCCGAAATAAAGCAAAACAAGTTGAATAAGATAAAACAAGTAGACCCTTACTCTTTTGTATCAGTCATTTTTTTTTATTGAGGTGCAAGTTTTGTTTATTTTATCATCTTTTAATGTCTTGCAAAGCTGTCCCACAGCTAGTGGTGGTTCAAACTCTGTTGATTGTTGCGTAGTGGTTTTCATGTAAGTTGATCATAGAGAAATTTCCTTCTTGGGATATTCTTAGTGATTAGATAGAAAATGTTTTTGTTTTTTTCCTGATCTATATTAATGATTGGATGGTAAATGTTTTGGTTATTATGATATGAAATAAGCTATTCAAAGCTTTTATTTTTACTATTTTTTGCGAAATCTAGCAAAATTAGTACCTTTTCTTTTTGGTACCAAATCCACCACTATTATTAATATGGGAAGCTGCGTAGGAAAATCACTAGAAGCTGGACCATACCAAAGAAGACGAGTCTTCATTGACAGATCATAAAAATTTGACCAAGTCTTTGAATTTGCAAATTGCAAGGAATGTATACAAGTTGAACTTTTATATGTTGAATAGTTGAAGTTAGTGTGTGAATTATTGCTTGAGCTCCTTCAAGTATAAGTTGCAATTGTAAGGAAACTTAAGAATATGTTATTGTTGTTCATATATCAACTTGGCAAGTAAGCCACATGGACCTTACAATGATCCTGGACATACATAGATCCTGTACAGTGTATTTGAGAATGGGATAACAATTTGGTGATTAGAGAGTAGAAAGTATTGAATTATTGATTATGAATTCACTAAGCAGTTTTTTGCATTACAGTGTAGGTAGTTGTTGCTCTCGAAAATATTATAATTTCCTTATTTGGTTTGTGATCGGCATTATTTGAGGAAAACCGTCATGTTATCTTAAAATTCATGACTTTCTAGTTCCTGTATGGGGATATACTGCAGTCACACATCAAAAAATTTACAGCTGTTTGCTTTCATATATACCGTAGATGGTTTGACACAAGATTCATAGTTATGTATGAGATCATACCCTTAGTTGCCTAATTCAAAAGACTTGGCATCTTTTCTGTCATTGTTTCAGATTTCAATGTTTATTGAGCTTACATGTATTTCCATGCTACAGTACTGATAGTTCATGTGTTTTTTTACTTTATTTTTGTAGAGAAGGTTCAGTTGCAACTAATTTTGGGATTAGGTAACTATAATATTCTCTTCTGATCAGATTCACCTGGTAGACTTTCATACATTGTGTACCTTTAATTTGGCTTTTGAATCTTGTAACTTAATTGACTCATGAACTCACCAAACATCAGGCATTGGAGGGGTTGTGCTTGTGTTTCTAGCACTTCTAGCTGTCTGGCACCGTAAGAAGCTGAAATTTGGTCACCCAAAATATGTGAGTCGGAGTGTGTCCCTTGATCGGAGTGCATCAGACCTTGAAAGGGGAAGCGTGTACTTTGGCATTCCACTTTTCACCTACACTGAATTAATAGAAGCCACTGACAATTTCAGTGAGTCTAGAGAGCTTGGTGATGGAGGCTTCGGAATAGTTTATTATGGTAAGCTTTAATTTCTTTGTAATCCCAAAAAATGTAGTCTAAACCTCATTAAGTGAGTAGCTAATAAAAATTTCAACCATAGGAAAGCTAAAAGATGGTAGGGAAGTAGCAGTAAAGCGGCTGTATGAAAAGAGCTTCAGAAGGGTGGAACAGTTCATGAATGAAATTCAGATACTCACGCGTCTGAGACACCAAAACCTTGTAACTCTTTATGGATGCACTTCCCAGCACTGCAGGGAGTTACTGCTTGTGTATGAGTATGTGGAAAATGGGACTGTGGCAGATCATCTGTTTGGTGAAAAGGCAAAACCCGGATCACTCACATGGCCCATCCGCCTCAGAATTGCCATTGAAACAGCAAGTGCACTTTCATACCTTCATGCTTCTGATATCATTCATCGTGATGTCAAAACTAGCAACATTCTCCTTGACAGCAGTTTTAAAGTTAGGGTGGCTGATTTCGGACTTTCTAGACTCTTTCCTACTGATGTAACTCATGTCTCAACAGCACCACAGGGGACTCCTGGGTACCTAGACCCGGAGTATCACCAATGTTATCAGCTAACTGATAGAAGTGATGTTTACAGCTTTGGGGTTGTTCTCATTGAGCTTATTTCTTCTTTGCCTGCAATTGACTTAGAGAGGAATAGAAGTGAGATCAACTTGTCTAACTACGCGATGAACAGGATCCAACGATGTGCATTTGATGAGTTGGTAGACCCGAAACTAGGCTTTGCCTCAGATTTCAAGGTTAAGAGGATGACTACTTTAGTGGCAGAGCTCGCATTCCAGTGCTTACAACATGACAAGGAATTCAGACCATCTATGGATGAGATTTTGGAGTCACTGAATAGGATAGAGAGTTCCGATTATGATGCTTTGCAGGAAGAAGAGATGGCTAATGATACTGGGGAAGTGGTAAAAACACAAAGTAGTTGTCCACCATCTTCATCTATAGATGATGATCATGCACAGTTGTTAAATACTCGTCAGCTGCATCCGCCTTCTCCAATTTCTGTAATGGATAAATGGGACAGTAGATCCACTATACAAAGCAAAGACAAGTAAGTTGATGTTTTACGTTTATTATTTTTTTGGAAAAACACATTGTTAAGCAATTAAAATGATAAAGAGGAACCTTTTGGCACCTCAAGCTCTAGGTAGTTTGAAACCATGAAATCGTGTTTTTACTCGAACAATGGTCCATATCTGACTACGTACTATGCACATATTGGAATTTTTGATGTAAGAAATGTATAGAGGAGATTAATCCATATTCTGCAGTACTGTTTTAAATCTCAGTGAACTGTGTTTAGAGCTCACTGTTATTTGGAGAATGCTTCTTGAAAATTGTCTAACACCTTGCAATATCTTAAACTGATGTATCACAAAATTATCATTATGATTTCTCTGTTTTTTATTTTTTTTTTTCTTCTTAAGAAAGTAAGTAGTCTAAGTACTACAGTATGTAACATATTAGAAATTATATCAGTTTAGATTAGGTGCAAGTTCATATCATATGTTGCAGGTGACTCAGACTACGTCTATGTAAATGACTGAAAGCAGTGTTCTCAGACTGCAAGTAAGTGGTTCAGCAGTCAGGACATAATAGCCTAACGCCAGCAGCTTACAGATAAGATCGATTTTTTGTCAGTTTGGGTAGCGTTGGTGCAGATGCTAACTTGCAGTTCACTAGTAGAGCCATGGAAATTGGCCTCACATATATATGATTTAAGTTACCACAGGTAGTTCATAACTGATTGACTGGTGTTGGTTTCGGCGTTCTGAATGACAGAATTCAAAGCTTCAAAGGGAGTTTTTAAAGTGGTGGAATGAGCACTGATCAAAGAGCAGGTATAAAATAATTGTTCACCATGACTCTCTCCGTCCCTAAAGAATAAACAATAATTTTGTTAAGTTGTCAGATAAGAAGTCATTTTTTTTATATTAAACTAACAAACTTTTACTTTTAAATTTGCCTTAATGATGTTATTAGTAACCTATGATTGGTTGATGTTGGGGATTTTCTAGAAAACAAGGGTCACAAAGAAATGGAAATGAAATTGTTGGAAAAATCTTCGAGGCGTGAACGAGATCACTTTTCCAAAAGTACAATTTCGACCCTATACTACGACCGGGTATCACGGAAATTAATTAGGAGATACGACGAAGAATAATTACTATCACTTGTAGGATGATAGCAATTCAATGTATTAAAGTGTTTATATTTTGTGATAATGAACAATTGATAGTAACTTCCTATGCCAAAGTGATAAGATAGAAATTATATTTCATCTCTCAACCTACAGTCATCATATGAGGAGTTTCTCATATATAATATGTTAATGCATTTTTCAAACGTAACAAACGTAACAATACATTAAGTCATGCATTAAACAATGCTTTAAGTCATGCATTAAACAATGCTTTAAGTCACGAATTAAATAATGCATTTAGTCATCACTTAATACATTAAGTTATAATGCATTAAGTAACTGCCATACTAATGCAAGAGATACCGAAACCAAATCTTATGTAGCGGTTGCAACATAATTAATGATGAATCAGCCACTTTTTTCCTTCTCTTGATTAGTTGTATACTACTAATTTAATCATATATTGTCTAAGCCATGACACTTTAACCAAATGACTTAAACTTAACATAACATGAATAATAATCAACTAAATACTCTAAATTCTCTAACGGTTAAGACATATAGTAAAATTATGAATTAAAAAATAATTACAAATTAGGAGTCTTTACCTGAAAATGATCAACATTTGTCCAAATATAATGTTCCCTAGTGTTGGAATAATCTTCTAACAATGGTGAGTATCATTTTCTTAATAAAAATTCAAGTATTAAAATTGAATTCTGCCTTTGTGGACATGAGGAAAGGGCTGCTCCTAGGAAAAGTATGATTAGTTTTGAGATGTCCATGAAGTCCAAATGAGCGCATGATCATAATAGTGCTACCAGTTTTATGAATGTGTAAGTATATAATAGTAGATATTGTGGCTCAAATGCTTTATGCCGCCATCAATTTTGTTACTACTTTGACGGCTCATTTTTGGTAGCTGGTAATAAATTGTGGTAATGGGAATGAATTTTATCTACTACAATAATTCTAACAGAAACTGTTTCATTGACTGAGAATTTGATCAACTCTTATTTATGACCTAATTTGTATGTTCTAAATAAACATGACAATGCATACTTCAATCTAAATCGAGTGAGCTAATAGTGATATGATCCAAACATGATCTAATCAAAGTATGACACAGACTTAACCTAATCCAATCCGAAAGAGAACTGAACCAAATAATATATAAACTTGATTTAACATGATAATTACCTCTCTTAAACTTTACTTGAACCCAAAATAATCCCATAATAGACCGGTTCTTACCTCAAATAGTCGAACCCAAATGAAAAAACCCAAATCTGACCTAGTTATCTAATTTGATATGTCTATGCCTAACAGCCTAACTAACAAAAGTCCCCCATATAAATTTTTCAATTTTTACTTGGGTAGATCCAAGACACCATGGTCCACCAGAGTTGGTATAGCTTCTTTTTATTAGGCCAACCAGGCAGCCATCTTTTAAGAGAGACAAAGAAAAGTGAGCAACAAAACCAAAGTTTGGAAACTTCACCTGATAATCATAACAAAGCTACAAATTATTTTTAAAAATCTGTCTTTGTGAACACATTAAAAATTAATCATTCTAATTTAATAATTGTAGTTATCAGAAAAGTCATCAATATTATACAATTCTAGAGGATGATTAGTCTTGCTAGAGAATAAACTAAACATCACCCTGGGTCCCACATTCCCTAACAATTACCCGTTTTTTCTTTCTAGTCTTTATCATTATCCACCAAGTCAATACTATGATTTTCAAGTCAAATGCGTGTAATACTAACCTTGGAAAATAAGATTTTATTATTACTCGTATTGAATAATACTCCAACTGTCGACAAATAATCTACATAAAATCTATATTAAGATGTTTATAAAATAATATTTTTTTCATGCAATCCATGTGACAGACTTCCCACTCACTCTTTTTCTCTCAAAATCTCACCCTACTATAGTATTAAATTATGCATGTTCAAAGATTCTTAATAAACCAAATAGGAAGTCGAGAAGATTATTTGAGGACGGATGGAGTTATACAGGAATATAAGTATTTAAAATAATCTCACTTATATTAAACAAAAGGAGGATATTTTTTCATATACTTGTACATTGCTTTAAAAATAGTGGCTTCTGTTGTCTGATAACAGCAATAAGGGTCTTCAGATGGCTTCTGCTTCTGCTTCTGTTGCCCTGTTTTTTTTTCTCTTAAAGTTTGTACAAAATCTCTCAGCTGAAGAACAAAAGAGGCATGTCTGCCCAACTACCTTTCAGTGTGGAACATTTGGTACCTTCGGTTACCCCCTCACGACCGCCTTCAACCCGGGCTGTGGGATTTGTGTGATCAACTGTACTGATACGACTCCGACGATTGGTTTGTCACCCACAGGACCTTGGTATGAAATTATGAAAACCTTTTCAAATAACAGGAGTTTCCTTGTCAGTGATGCGCTCCTCAAATATGTCGTGAACTCTGACACTTGTGATGCCTTTGAAGGCAAAACCATTAGCCTTCCGAAATCTACTGCTGTCATCGTTACAAACTTGTTTTTTGAAACATTGTGGAAGTGCAGGAGGAACTTCAATATGAGTAGCAATGGAAATTTTCGTCGTATACTTGGCTGTCAAAATTACAGTATTTATCATAGTAATAACTCAAAAGATGGCAGCAGATTTGCCAACTGCAGCTCTTTTCAGTATCCGATATTTCTGATAGTAGAATTGTCTGATAAATGTTCACACTGTGTTAGTGAAGGAGGCTATTGTCAGGAAACCATACCTGACAAATTTCAGTGCATCAACAAACGAAAAGGTAATAGAGAATGATCATCATATATATGTACCCTTCAATCATAATATATCGCCTTTTTATGTAATTTATACTAAAGCTTTAAGTACTGATTTGATGTCTAATGAACATCTTTGCAGAAAGGAGCAGATTCAGACTACTTTTGGGATTAGGTAAATTATTGTACAATAATCAACTTTCCTTGAAATTGTAGTGTTATTGAGAAAACTAAAGTACAAATCCTTTCTTTTTCAGGCATTTCAGGAGGAATCATTGTCATTATAATATTTGGGCTGCTATTCTGGTGTCGTAAGAAAATAAAACTCAGATCACTGGAATTGACTTCAGGGAACAATTCTAAGCAAACCATGAGAATGAAAACGAACCTTGAGGGGAGCAAGGTGTATTTTACTGTACCAGTCTTCTCTTACAGCGAGCTTGAAGAAGCGACAAAAAATTTTGATCCAAGTAATGAGCTTGGAGATGGAGGCTTTGGAACTGTTTATTACGGTAAGAAAGATTACGAGTTTAATGGCTGCAGGAAGCTTTTTGTTACCCAGGCTATAATTTTGTGTCATCTGCTGTCATTCTAACATGGTATATGGGCACTTGCATGTGTCTTAACACTTGTAGCAACTTATTCATGAAGTTGTATCAATATAGTTTTGTTTTAAACACCTCCTTCATCTAACAAGCAACATAAACATTTCTATATTTGGTCAGGAAAACTTAAAGACAGGAGGGAAGTTGCTGTGAAACGCTTATATGACAGAAACTGCAGACAGCTCGAACTGTATATGAATGAGATTGAAATCCTTGCCTGCCTGCGCCATCAGAATCTAGTAACCCTTTATGGCTGCACTTCACGGAGAAGCAGAGAACTCCTACTTGTATATGAATATGTTCCCAATGGTACAGTGGCTGATCACTTAGTTGGTGACCAAGCAATGTGTGGAACCCTCATTTGGCCTGTCCGAATGAGGATTGCCATAGAAATAGCTACAGCATTGTCGTACCTCCATGCCTCAGATGTCATTCACCGGGATGTTAAAACTCAAAATATTTTGTTGGACAACAACTTTAGTGTAAAGGTAGCAGATTTTGGGTTATCAAGACTTTTTCCAATGGATGTTACTCATATATCAACTGCTCCACAAGGCACTCCTGGGTATCTTGATCCCGAATACCATCAATGTTACCAGCTGACTGATAAGAGTGATGTATATAGCTTTGGTGTTGTTCTTGTCGAGCTCATTTCATCAATGCCAGCGGTTGATTTAACTAGGAAAGAAGATGAAATCAACTTGTCTTATTATGCAATGAAGAGAATTCAATGTTGTGCATTTGATGATTTAGTAGACAAACGGCTAGGATTTGACTCAAATTACAAGGTGAAGAGGATGATTACCTTGGTGGCAGAGCTTGCTTTTCAGTGTCTGCAACACAAGAAAGAATTCAGGCCCTCCATGGATGAAGTTCTAGAAACGTTAAAAAGAATAGACAGTGCAGATTACGGAGTGCATAAGTCAATAGAAATGGAAGACAGTGCAGATTACGAAGTCCATAAGTCAATAGAAAAGGAAGACAGTGATGCTTGGCTATTGAGTAATGCAGAAAACCTACCTTCACCGAATTCTGTAATGTATAAATGGGGCAGTAGCAAGTCCGCAACACCCACAGCCAGCAGATGAGGCAGCACCGAAACAAATGTATACCATAAACCAGAGTAAGTTCATCTACGCTCTCATATACCTGTTTTCACTGCTATGCATACAGTTACAGAGACCAAGTTGTCTTTAAATTTTGTTATGAAATATGAGATGTTTATACAACTGAGAAATACAGTGGATTTCTCACAGAATTTGTAACAATGAGCCTTGAAACCAATACACTTGCAAGTTGACTCGATATTATTTTCTGTGAGTAATGAGGAATTCTACATAACACACAAAATTTACACTCTTTCCACAGGAAAAAAAATCCGCTCAATGTCCTTGAAAGGGTAATATTAAGATACTTTTACAGTAATTCTGTACTTTGTGCAGCAGCAGACATAGTTGATAATGAAATTGTTTAAATGTCACACAGTTCATCCAATGCCAATGCCTATGGCAATGCTGCTTGATTTGTATTATCTCTTTATAGTTTTTTTTCCCTCCTTACAATACAACTCATTATCAATTATTGCGGTTATATATCTTTTTACTTGCAACACTTTGACTATTTCATTACAGTATTTACATATTTATACTTTGAATTGATTTGTAATTAAAGAAAATTATAGTCACATTAGACCTTGTTAGATTCACCTTAATTTATTCTTTCATATTATCAAATTTTACGATTTTTTACTTATTTCTTACAAAAAAAAAAAAAAACGATTTTTTACTTATTGGTAATATTTGTGAGTATAATATAATAGTGCAAAGGTGCCATGGCAAACATGTAAGGAAATATTGTGGTAAAAAGAAACAAGAAACAGAGGAAGTAGATGGCAACTAAATACTACATCCGTTTCATATTATTTGCAACGATTTGACATAAAATATGAAGGGAAATTATCAATAGTACACCCAAGGTTTGGGCCTTTATCAATAGTATACCTGCTAAACTATTGTTTATCAGCGGTACATTCAAGGTTTTATACCATTATTAGCCGTACACCTACCGTTAGACAAACGTTAAAAAAAGTTAGTTTTGGCTTTTTTAACTTAAAAACTGACATGTGGCGGCCTGTGACTGGTCCAAAAAAATAAAAACAAAATAAAATAAAATAAAATTTTAAAAAAAGTTAGATTAATAAAATAAAATAATTTTAATTTTTAATAATTTTTTTTAAACAACATATATATATTTTTTTTCCGGCAGCCCACCCAGACATCCCAACCCCCTTGCCCCCGATGCTGGCTAGCCAAACCCTCCTCGCCGGCTGCCGCCCCTCCCCTTTCTCGTAGCCACCATCCTCGAAACCACCTGACTCCCCCACAAAACCAACAACACCACCACCCTCCACCAATTCACGAACCCAGCAGCCGCCCTTATCACCGCTGCTCCATTTCAACACCCACCATCAGTGGCCGACAACTGTAGAAGTTGTCCACCATCCGACCACTTTCGACCACAAATAACATACCCAATAGCAACACCAAATCCCGTGCACCCAATCTCCACTTCGCGCCACCACAATTCGCCACCCACCATCACCGTTCAATCCACACTTCGCGCCGAATTTGGTTACTTGTAGCAGGAATTTATGGTGGTGGAAGGGAAGAGGAAAGAGAAAGGAGGGAGGAAAGAGAAGGGGAAGGGTGGTCAGAGGGGGGTGGGATGTCTGGTTGGCTGCTGGAAGTAATGGAGGAGGAGGAAGGATGGAGGAAAGAGAAAGGAAGGAGGTAGGAAAAAAAGGAAAAAAAAAATAAAATAATGTTGTTTATAAAAAATTATCAAAATTAAAAATTAAAAAAAATTATCTTATTTTATTAATCTAACTTTTTAAAAAAATTTATTTTATTTTATTTTTATTTTTTTGGACCAATCACAGGCCGGCACGTGTCAGTTTTTAAGTTAAAAAAGCCAAAACTAACGTTTTTTTAACGTTTATCTAACGGTAGGTATACGGCTGATAATGGTATAAAACCTTGAATGTACCGCTGGTAAACAATAGTTTGGCAGGTGTACTATTGATAAAGGCCCAAACCTTGGGTGTACTATTGATAATTTCCCAAATATGAATAAAAAAATGTCTAATCGTTTATGTCTAATCGTTGCAAATAATCTGAAACGGAAGTAATATTATAAATTACGCTTAGAGGTATATAGGCATTACCGTTAGGGGTATTCAGGTAACTTAAGGTCGCTGTAGATTATTTTCAAGTCCTCTCAAATAAACAAGTATGAGTAGTTGCTAAGCTTGCTGCGAGACATGACTATAGATCGAAAAAGTAGAATGATTGAGCGTGCATAAACTTTTAAGTTTCTTTTTAAGAATGAGATAAACTTTGGTACTTGAAATTGAGACATTAATCCCAAGACACAATCACCATCTTCTCCTCACTCCCATAAATCATGATGAATTTTTACAATCATAGTTAATAAATTCAAATTTGAATTACCTTAGAAAACGTTATTCACGCAGAACTCCATTTATATACGTATAAGTGTATAACCAGTCTCAGTACCCGAATAAACAAACCAAAACACAAGACAGTAGGAGAGAGAGAGCAAAGAAATGGAGATGATCAGAAAATGCGGAATCAGCAGTAGCCCAACTCGAACCCCATTGACGCACCATCATGGGCTCCATCGGATGACTCTAGGGATGCTTCTTCTCAGTCCCATCGAAAGCGACAAGAAGCCACATCCCCGGCAAACCTTGTTAAGGCAAGGGATCACTAGTAACAAGGCAGTAATTGGCAGAAACACATTGAAGAATTTAATGTCATCTACAACAAACCTATTTGAAAATACAAGTACAAAGGCAGATGACCACCATCAACAAGTTTTTGTGTTCCAAGAGCAGAAACCGATTGATGGTGATATTTTGCCTCCACCGAAGAGTGGTGGTAGTAGAAATCATGGCAGCCGAAGAGTTAGACAGGGGACGAATAGACCGGCCACTGCCTCGACAGGTCTCCGCATTCGGTTTTTCAAGCGAACTTGGCGTCCTGTGCTGGGTGCAATCCCAGAAGAAAATTCATTTTATGCACTACCTCATCTGTCTCTGCAGTGAATCTCAATCAAATCATACTTTTTACATGATTTTTCACACATAATTATGTAATGGGGCAACGGCAACTAGCTGGTTGCCCAACCCACGCTACTTATTCTTTGTTTCTTCTTCTCCCTACTCTTTTCATACCTGTAGCCTTATATTAACGATATGAATTGAACATTTAATTTAATGATATGAAAAGAGGCTATGTCACTATGATACATTGTAAGGGGCAAAACATAAACATCCATGACCAATTCCAGATCAAAGAAGAAAAAAAAATATACTGTATAAAAGCTTCGTGGTTGAAAATCAATTAACAGACTTTTTTACTTTCTCCCAGTACAAGTGAATAGTCCAAATAGGTAAACTTTGACCATAAGAATCTAAAAGATGCCATAAGAATCTGAAAGTTGTGTTAATGTGCAATTGTATTGATTGATTTAGTTTCAAAAGCAGCTAATTGTAAATATATGCAATACACAAATTAATTAATTGCGTGAAATTTGTCTATTAACTAACTGATGTGGTTGAATAACATCACAAGTTCACTATCATACGGAGAAGGAGGTAACATCTGCATATAAGATATATAAGTAGAAATAACATTCAGAGGGAATGAAGGAAAAATTAGCAACGAGATGTAGAACAGTTGAAATGGATGCTTTCTTCAGAATTTTCTTTTACAGGTCTTCTAAAATCTGCAAGAATCACACCATCTTTTTTGACTGGCTAGTTAAAATGAGAAGATTAATATGTCATTAACAATTTAGATGTTTTCTGCAACTCACAATTGCACCAGATTCAGAAAAGAAACTTAATCATTTACCATAAGCATCATATATAACATTGAATACATCTCAATTTTCTTGCATCAAGCATCACTTCTTTAAGCAACTCAGCACAATCAGCTCTAATGTGTCTGTCACTAAAGTGCTGAGTTTTTACAAGTTTGAGTTTTTCTCCTTTTTCAATCTATACTGACTACATTAGACTGTAACTAAAAATAATGACTACTTTCCTACACCGCTACACGACCAAACCACAATTGTCAAAGGACTTCACGTTACCAAGATCACTACAGCCAGAGTTACAAGTTCTTCTAGGGAGCACAAATAACCAGCAAGACTATTATGCCAAAAAGCTTTAGATTCTCCCTAGATGGATACAGATGTACTGATATATCATATTAGTTCAACAAAGCACGAAAACAACAAAACAAAAGGAACATATAATACATACAGTGCAATGTTTCCACATGGTATCAGGGGAAGGATAAGGTTGAGTAGAAACAATCCTTGGGTGGAGAGAACAATTGCTTGAAGCTAAGTGACTCTTCAACATCTCTCATACTGTGATCTTCCAATTTGAAGACACGAGGGACATAGTATCTGATTTCAGCATCATAATATCGCAGATGACTAGGTTATTGTGCATCACGCCTTCTAAATGAAGGATTGCGTCTACAGATACCAGTAATGATTTCCCTTGCTGTATTATTGTATCGATATCGAATGAAATCATTGAAAGGCACAGAGTCAATATAATATATGCAATTCCCCTCACAACCAGGGAAATCATTAACCGAAACAGAGAAACAAACATCTTTTCCTAGAAAAAAACTCAATCACTCAACGAAGTAACCTGAACCCACATCCCCAAGCTTTCATCAGCCTTATACACTTTCATATCCAACTTGTCAAAGTCACTTTCAATCCGCTCCGATTCCTGGAAATCAATCGATCTACAACTGTAAGCATCAACCACATACAACTGCCCTTCTGATTAAACTAAGTTCTGTATCTGCCCCAAAGATTTGAGTCCGGGCAAATACTTCAAAACAACATTCATAAACTTATCAATCCAAAACACATTCCCATAAAAATCCAACGCATAATATTCACCCTGACATAATGATATATCCCAAAACCGAAACAAAGGACTAGCACACAAATTGGTCCATTTATCATCCCCAAAACCCTTAAACCCTAATTTCACATAATCATATATAGCAAGAATCCCACAATCATGAAACACAACAGCTTTCTTCACATTCAGTTCACCATATTCAATACTGGAATCAAAATGCAAAACTTTCCCCAATTTCAATTAACCGGCAATCCAACAAATTCAGACCCTTACCCAAAATCAAATCCGGTTTAGGAATAGTTAAAGGGTTCAAACCCTCAAACTTACCCTCGG